CTAGACTATAGAAAGAAACGTCTTAAGTCTGGACTTGAGTACTACAGCCCTGACAGTCACAAACTTCAGCTTATAGATCAAACTTTATTGTATAAAGAGCAACAGAAAATGACCTGATCTTCATTTGAATATTATATTGTAGACGATGATGTAAATAAACTAAAACAAACACAAACCCACTCTCTTATTGTCTCTTTCACCAGCCTGACAGTCACATTCACACTGATGGAGCATTAGGGGACTTTTATTTTGTCAGGTGAGAAACACCTGGGGCCTCATGTACTAAGACTTGCATGGAAATCATACAAAAACATTGCGTTCACACAAAGCTGTAAATGTGCGTACGCAGAAAAAAAATTCAGATGTATGAAACACTGCGTACGCCGAATCTCACGCATATTCTTTTGTACATCCTAATGAACGTGAAACTGAGCGCAACATGCATGAGCACAAAACCCCTCCCTGCCTCCTCCCCCGTATGAATATGCAAATGACTCTACTTTGGCAAAACCAAGCAAAGGCAAAAGCAAGCAAAAAGAGAAACTTTGAACAGAATGTGAATTGGAGGTGCTCTTTTCGGTGGTAGACCGGAGAAAAGCGGTGTTATTTGCAAGTTTGTTCTCCGGAATTAACAACAAAAGAAAAAAATTGAGTGGGAGAGTTTAGCTGCGGTTTATGCGGTTAACACAGTTGGGTCTGAACATCGCACTGAGTGAATTAAAAAGAAATAGTGTGATTTATAGGTGTAAAATGTTGCAGTACCCTTAACAGTTTCAGTGGCGCAGCTCGTAAGACGCATGTCATCATGTTTTGACACGTTCGAGCATGAACTCATGAATCCAGCGTCAGATGAACTCTTTTTTTTTTCCCCCACTACATATCAGATTTTGCCAACTATTTATCACGAAAAGACAAGTAGGAATCATTAATAAGTTTGTGCATCATATTTTATTTGCACATTTATTGAATGGAAATGTTTCTGATTCACGCATGCAAATTCATCTTCAGATAGTGTCTTTATAGCAATGTGCGTGCAGTAGATAGCTCAGATTATATTGGGAAAACAGGCGACCGCTGCAAATTGTGCTTTAATGTTTAGCTGGTCAACTGTATGGTATGGAAACCTTATATACCTGCTAGATGAACCTGTCTCATACAGCTGCCATTGCAAGGCTCAGACACTTTGTAGAGAGAATTTTTAACACAACTGCCTCTAGGAGTCGCCAATGAAAATAAAACAGACACGCACAAAAAATGTGCGTACGCCAGCCAAAAAGCTGGCGTGGAGCTGCGCATTATCCCACGTTCAGTTAATTGTTAGTAAATCCAAACGTGAGCGATTCTGAGCTTGGAACCTGGCGTACGCAAAGTTTTTGTGCGTACGCAGCGTTGATACATGAGGCCCCTGATCAATAATCATGAGTGCTGACTTTGCTTTACACACAGCCTTTCTGACAGAAGAACTTTAGTCAATATATTGCTTCATGTGAATGAGTAATCAGGGTTATTTTCAGATGCATGTGTAGTAAATACATCAGTTCACCGGGTCTCTTACAGTAAATTCCTGAATACATGCTTATAGTGTGTCTTCATATTATTGTAGTGGTTTAGATGATAATAAGAGTGTCATGAGACTTTTATATGTTTACAAGAAACTGCAAACTGAACAAACAGCAGAGCATGTCTAAACTTCACCAGGACACAGCAAATATAAATATAATAATATAAAATATGAATAAATAATTCAGAAGTATTTCATTAAAAAGATCCTTAAAATAAACTGATTTCTTTAACATTAGGTCATATTTAGGTATATAATATACTCAGTAATGCTTTTAAATTTATTTACAGATAAACCTACATTGGTATAGTTATGATTAAACTCACAACCCTGTAAATGTTTTGTTTCTTCTTCTGCCAATCCATTGAAAGAGGTCCCACATTTGGTAACCCAATATAACTGTATCTGTTGAAAGGAGAATCATTTACCTCAGTGTCTCCAGTTTACAGTTCACACTCTTCAGTCCATCAGTGAGAAGCTTCACTCCAGAATCTTGCAGTTCATTGTTACTCAGGTCCAGCTCTCTCAGCACACAGTTTGAGGATTGTAGAGCTGAAGACAAACTCTCACAGCACTGAACAGTGAGATTACACGTGTCCAATCTGAGAAAGAAGAACACAGATTACATTAACAGTGTGATTTTGGTCATTCATCTGATGTAAAAAAAAACTAACTGTGAGGTAAATAATATGACAAAACTATTGGAATTTATTCAATTACAATTATTATTGACTATTGTTATTTAATAAAACTGAAAATTAAATGCCATCTAATATATTCTTGAATATTTTTAATGTAAGAAAACTGCTAAATTTCAGTTTAGATAAGAGGACCACGAGACTTTATATATTTATGAACCTGCAAAATGCAAATGATCAGAGCATATCAAAACTGCTGGAGGGTCCAGAAACCTCCTCAGACTTCATCCACATTGCTTCTGTTGTTTTGGATTTTTTTTGTCAGAATGACCAAAACATCTGACAAATTCCTAAATATATCTTTTCAATAAACCAATTCAAAGATAAACTATAAATATGATCATATAAAGATATACAATCCAAATAAAAGATTTAGAGGTAATTAAATAAAATAATCATTAAAATACACTGATTTCCTGAACTGTTTAAAAAAATGAGCAGCTTTCATTTGAAAAGCAGCATTTTGCAGTTTATCCACTAATTCTCTTAAACATATGTGGACATTTCCATCTAAATCTAAACACTTTTTAATGTTGTTGAGTGGAGAATCATATACCTCAGGGTGTCCAGTTGACAGTGTTGACTCTTCAGTCCATCAGAGAGCTTCTTCACTCCTGAATCCTGCAGGTCATTGTTACTCAGGTCCAGCTCTCTCAGGACACAGTTTGAGGATTGTAGAGCTGAAGACAAACTCTCACAGCACTGAACAGTGAGATTACACCGCTGTAGCCTGTGTAGAGGACAAACAGCAAAAATCAGCAGTAAGAAATGAGCACTGTTGAGTGTTCATGAGTCCAGTCTACAGTGATAAAAGTAACACTGAAAATAAACTATATATATTGAAGCGAGTATACCGATGCCACGTTGCCTTGGTCCAGGATTTACCCCAGCTGACACCTAATCAGCACGGATCGGTCACAGCTGGAGCTTATCAGAGGAGACACATATAAGCCAACCCTGCACACGAGGACGAGCTTCATTTCTCTCAATGACTCCCTGCGCTAATCTATGTGTCTCTCTGTCTCTCCTACACAGCGGATTCCAGGAGTTGACCGATCCTTCACCAGAACTCTCACTCAATCTCACCTTCCCCCCGGAGCACCAGAGCACCTGCCCCTAGAAGAGCACCGTATTCATCTTGTTTTCACTTTTGCACATTGTAAATAAATCACCCTCCGGGGACCTGTTTGTAACACAATGCTATTGTGTATGTGTTTTCCCTGGTGGAGAATGCTGGCAAAATAGAGCGAAAATTCAGAAGAAACACTTACCAGTAAGAAGAAAAAATAACCACAGATTTTTTTTGTGTTACAGACAAGGCATCCGGTTTCTCTCTCCCACTCACTCTCTCTTGCTCAGCTGTCATCGTCCTGTAAGCCATGTCTTTGGAAAAAGTGATACTCCACCTAGCGGAGATTTCCAGCAAGCAACAGACCATTACTGAGCAGCTCACAGCCAGACAAGACCAAATGGAACAACAGCTCCGCCAGGCGGACGGATGCATACCGCTTCCCGAAGTGAGTGCGCATTACCACATCACAAAGCTCAGTGACCTGGACGATATAGATGCCTATTTACACACCTTTGAAGTGATTGCCGAAAGAGAACACTGGCTAAAGGAAAGCTGGGCAAGGATGTTGGCTCTGTTCCTCACTGGAGAAGCTCAAAGAGCTTATTTTGCACTAGAGACACCTGAAAATGAAGATTATAAAGCGCTGTAGAAGGAGATATTAGCTATAATGGGGCTCTCAGCAATCAGCGCAGTGCAGCAATCTTTCTCGTCTAGGCCGATTGTGGCTATTGGGAGGAGATCCCTCGGCGGTCCAGATCGCTGAAAAAGTGGTGGTGGAAAAAATAAAGCGAGCCTTACCTCGACGTTTACGCACCCTTACCAGCATGGGAAACCCTGGATCGTTGCCCACCCTAGTGGAAGCGGTGGAATTGGCTGAAGCTCACGTTGCCAGGGATTTGGAGGAGAGAGAGGCTCTGCCAATCCGGAGGGTGAATGCACCTTGGTGACCAATGGAGGGCACAGCGCGGCCAGGCAGCAGACCAGCGGTCCCTAGCCCAATGGACGAGCCGATGCCCACAGAGCCGATGATACACTCGACCCCGGCCTAGAAAGTGGGTTGCGTGGTCCACCGCAACATACCTCCCGAAGCTCCCACCCGAAAAGTCTCTTTGGAAGGGAAAACACAAACAGCCTCGTTGGATACAGGAAGCACCATCACTCTGGTTCACCCCAAAGTCCTAAAACACCGTTGTGAAAGTAAAGCACAGATCCCAATCACGTGCGTGCACGGAGATACCTGCTATGTACCTGCACAGAGGGTAACCATTGCGGCTAAACCAGCATTGTCCTTGTTATCCTTCATTATGCCACCCGGTATCCAGAAGCTATTCCCCTGAGAAAAGCCACGTCATCTGGGATCGCCAAGGAGCTGTTTCTGCTGTGCAGTCGAGTAGGAATACCAGCAGAGATACTGAAAGACCAGGGCACCCCCTTCATGTCCCGGCTAATGGCGGACCTCTGCCACCTATTAAAGGTAAAACAGCTGAAGACATTGGTGTACCATCCGCAAACCGACGGCCTTGTAGAGAGGTTTAACAAAACCCTGAAACAGATGCTTTGCCGAGTGGTGGCAGAGGACGGGCGCGACTGGGACCTCATGATCCCGTACGTGTTATTCGGTATCACAGAAGTACCCCAGGCCTCCACAGGCTTCACACCGTTTGAACTCTTATTTGGCCGTCAACCCCGCGGGCTCTTGGATGTGGCTCGCCAAGCCTGGAAGCAGGAACCAGCCCCTCAATGGTCGGTGACTGAACACGTATGGGACATGAGAGAATGCATTGAAAAAGTCATGCTCATCGTCAAGCAACACCTAACCGAAGCCCAGCGCGCCCAGCGCGCCCAACAACGATTATATAACTGGCCCGCCCAACCCAGGGAGTTCCAACCAGAGGACAAAGTGATGATCCTGATATCCATTACAACTTCGAAGTTCCTCGCATCATGGAAGGGACCGTATACATAGTGGAAAGGATAGGGCCGGTAATCTATCAAGTCCATCAGCCGGGTCGAAGACGAGAGGAACAACTATACCACTTCAATTTAATGAAGAGATGGGTTGCAGCTCCAGACCACCTAGTGGCTTTCACGGAAGAGAGTCCCCCAGTCATCCACATAGGTGAGCAACTGTCTGCAAACCAGAAGGTGGAGCTGCAAGCCTTGGTTGGTCAGTTCAAGGATGTGTTCTCGGAGAAACCGGGCCTAACCACCATCATCCAGCACAACATCATTACTCCACCTGGCACCATCGTAGGCTTGGGCGGTATCCAAATTTTGATACCGTCAAACCGCCTCCATATTTTACCCCGGTATCCGGTATTACCGGCGTAATAAAAAAATTAGGACGTAAGGCTCAGACAGCGTCACCAAACTGTTGGCTTGAGCCTAAACCATTCAGAAACTGAATACATTCTATGCGACCTTAGGCTTGCGGTCAGAGAGAGAGAGAGCGCGCCAAGCGACACACAGCACCTCTCTCTCTCTCTCTCTCTCTCTCTTACACATACACACACATACACACACACACATCTTTCCCCCGATTTATTCAGAAGTTTACTCCCACACTGTAAGAAATCTGGCTGGCTTCCGCGGAACAGCAGCGGGAATGCAGAGAGCTGTAATCGGGCCATAATAATTATACCCGATAGGTCCCGAGTCCGACAGGTACATTTTGATTGGCAGCTTTATAAAGCCCGAACCCGTTTACTGCCCGACATTATTCAAATGTGCTCATGCACAGCTCTAATGCATTTTTTCAAGAATGATTAATTTATATGTTTTAACATCATTTATTCGTAACAAACGTAGACTATAGGCCACTTGGAAGTTGGAACAAAGAAATAAAATAAGTCCTCTGTAACATCGTAACATCTCAGCACTCTATATGGGCCTGGGCACATACACTTAGCTTTTAAATTGGCTAATACACTAATGAAAAGAAATCTTGCTTAACAAATAAAATTAAAATAAACTCTAAATGATGATGGGTATTTTGGCAATAACGAAATTAAGATAAAGGTTCTGCAAGATTTGTTTCTCCACTTGGCTTTACAATCTGGCATTAGGGCGGCAGTGAAGCTGAATATTAAAAGATTAATGCCACCATTAGCCTGTATACTCTGTCTACATTATGATTATATGGTTTAATTAATATTTATTTATAATTGAAAAACTCTTTACTCATCAAGATTAGGCTACGTGTGTTTGTTTGTAGAGAAACATTATTAAATCCACTGGCTTTAGCGCAGTCTCTCACTCATGGTGCGTCCAGCAGCTGAACACCCTTTCCTGCTGCTACAGGTCGAGATGCAGAGTTCTGATCTGGCTGATTTTGCAAGTTTTTGGTAGGATTGTTTGTTCATCTTTTACCAGTCAGGAACATGCATTTAATTTTCCATGACAGCAGTTTTAGTGTAGCGAGCGGAGTGGCCTCGTCTTTTTACCTGTCAGCTTGCGGATTAGGGCTCTACCGTAATACGAAGTGTATAAGCGACCACGAAATACCTGCGGCTGGAATAACCGCTCCTTCTGAGCTAGTGACTGGCTTGACCGCCGTCAAAATTCGTTTTTTTTTTACTACTTCGTCATCATTTGTTTCATCTTTGCAGGGATGGATTTTAATGCAGGGATTTGGATTTTTTTCGGGTCTCACCGGGTTCGGGCAAAGATCTACAGCTCCAATGCAGACCTCTCGTTCATATTAACCATGTCTCCCTTCTGTTCAGTCGAAACTGGCAAACTGCAGGACAGTTTGAAGCGCGACTCGTCACGTCACCTCTCCCCCTCTCCCTTTCCCTCTCCCTCTCCCCCTCCCCCTCTCCCCCTCCCTCTCCCTCTTCCTCTCTCTCTCTTCCACACTGTCCCGTGATGACAACCACATATAGGTTTTTGTAGGCTATAAATAAAGGATATTTAATATTTTATGACGGTATAACGGTATTAAAACTGACACCGTTGCTATTTTTAGATCCCGCGGTATACCATAATACCGTAATACTGCCCAAGCCTACACCATCGTCCGACAAAGGCCTTATCGAGTACCAAAGGCTCGCCGGCTGGCTATGAACGAGGAGATCGAAAAGATGAGGAACATCCTGCTGAGGCCCCACCAGCCATATGCAGCAGCATATTTGGACGATCTGATCTTTGACGGGCTGGGCTCACAGCTAACCCCAGGAAATGCCACCTTGGGCTAGCCAAAGCCAAATACCTCGGGTTCCACATCAGAAGAGGTCTTATACAGCCACAACAGAATTAGGTCAAAGCACTTCAAGAAACTTCACAACCCACAACAAAAACCCAGGTATGTGCATTTCTGGGGTTAGCGGGCTACTATAGATGTTTTATACCTAACTTCTCATCCATAGCCAGCCCACTGACAGACCTGACCAGAAAGGGGCAGACAGAGAGGATAAAATGGGACAAAGCGGCGGAAGACGCGTTTCGGACCCTGAAGTCAGCCCTATGCAACGGTCGAGAAGGAGGCCCTGGCAATCAATTGGGCAATTCTGGAGCTCAGGTATTACCTTCTGGGCAGGAAGTTCACCCTGGTGACAGACCACGCCCCGCTACAATGGATGGCAACAGCGAAGAGACTGTAGCGAAGAGACCATTTGAGGGGGGGAGACTGTAGCGGGTATACCTATGCCACGTTGCCTTGGTCCAGGATTTACCCCAGCTGGCACCTAATCAGCACGGATCGTTCACAGCTGGAGCTTATCAGAGGAGACACATATAAGCAAACCCCGCACACAAGGAGGATGAGCTTCATTTCTCTCAATAGCCACATTTCCACTATCGGGCCAGTGCGAGCCAGGGCTTTTATCGGGCCGGGCCGGGCCAATAGCTTGGGAGGTTGAGAAATGAGGCCGAAATCATGTCGCGTTTCCACTGTCGAGCTAGTAGCTCACAGCGCGTCACGCAAACACCGCCCACAGAACGTCCTCGAATCAAACGTCACACAACCCGTCCACTTCAGCGGGAATCAAGCAGATAAAGCACATCATAGAATCTTCACGAAACGAAACCATTAAAATGAAGACAACCGAAACAAACGACACGTTACTGTACAGCAGTACATGAAATGTCTATACGCACAGACCTGTGTATTTCCATTCATTACATTTGTTTACTCACCGACCAACTGTTGGCATTGTGCATTGAGTGCTCTCGCCACTAAGGGAGGGACCCATCACAGTGAGCGCACACATCTATAATATAAAGCCACAGAAATTCTCCTTTATAACTTGATATGGCATGTATTTTATAACATCCTCGTTTTGATAGACGTCAGGTTAAGTGTTTCAGCATAAGAGCGAGTAGCCTAATAAAATATAGCCATATTTGTTGCGCTCAGCAGCTACTCACTAAAGCTCTACATTTAAAGTTTCATTTATTTGTCCGCGTCATATAAAACATAAACACTTGTTTGAGGATATAGAACACACTTTGTGCTTGGACTTTCACCTAATGCGTTTAAAGCAGCGCTGCGCAGGACTGACAGAAAAAAGATAGGCTATTCTGCTTTCACTCACCCAAAAAATGCTCTGTTTGCGCGATTTGATTAATATCATCGTATCCAAATACTTTATAAATAATATTTCAAACCTTCTCCAGTGTTAATTGTTTTATTATTTTCAGAAAATATCTAAAATATTTTTTTTTCAGACAGGTCTTTGTAAAATGAAAGTTAGGCTATATGTGGCTTTAAAACTGTTTAATTTATGTATCGTATATAGGCTACCTACATTGTTATAGCTAGCTTTTTTTATTTTATATTGGTTTATTTATTTAATGTAATTTTATATATATCCGATATTTGTAATTCTTTAAATTATATTTCAATATAGCTTAGGCTATTTTATCAAGACATGACACTAAATTGTTTAAAGTCTACAAGAGGGCACGTAATTTGTTAAGTTTTTTGTCGTTCTGTTGTATTTATATTGTGTATTATCTTCAAAATAAATAAAGAAAAAAGCCATTCGCGGTATCAACAGAGCTGTGAAGAAGCGCTCTTGCCTCACACACACTTACAGGCATCTAAACGCGCACAAACACACCTTTTAAACTTGACAATAACTCTCGAAAACCTTTATTGTCTGCTGTGTCTTTAATATGATGTAAAGATTATTATGCGTTATTGAAACATAAAGGAGGACGCAGCAATGTCACTATAAATTAAAACTACTTTATTATTTTATGCAGCAGCCTTACATTTAAAAGGGAAACATAAGGGTGATCATATGCAAAAAGATCCCAGACTATAAGGCTAGATGTTTTATTTCCCTTATTTATTTATTTGTTTGGCGCATGTACTCATGTGCGATCAGAAAACTGCCCGCCTCTCCTTTCACTCCGCTCCGAAGCCCCAGCTGGCCCTCCTTGGCACAAGGTATTCGGCGGGCCCCGCTTTGGCCTGATTAGGCCCCGGAAGTGACAGTGGAAATGCCACTGGCCTTGGCTCGCCCTGGCTCGCTCGCTTTAGGCGCGATAGTGGAAACGCGGCTATTGACTCTCTGCGCTAATCTATGTGTCTCTCTGTCTCTCCTACACAGCGGATTCCAAGAGTTGACCGATCCTTCACCAGAACTCTCACTCAACCTCACCTTCTCCCCGGAGCACCAGAGCACCTGCCCCTAGAAGAGATGAACCGTATTTATCTTGATTTCACTTTTGCACATTGTAAATAAATTACCTGTTTGTAACACAATGCTATCGTGTATGTGTTTTCCCTCTGCCTCGCTACAATATATATATATATATATATATATATATATATATATATATATATATATATATATATATATATAATATATAAAAAAAGATATATATATATATATATATATATATATATATATATATATATATACTGCTCAAACAATAAAGAGAACACTAAAATAACACATCCTAGATCTGAACAAAGGAAATATTCTTATTAAATACTTTGTTCTTTACACAGTTGAATGTTCTGACAACAAAATCACACAGACATGATCACCGGAAATCAAATGTATTAACCCATGGAGGACTGGATATGGAGTCAATCTCAAAACTGTAGTGAATTGCAGGAATTGCTGACACACTCCAGACACATGAGGTCCAGCATTGTCTTGCATTAGGAGGAACCCAGGGCCAACTTCACCGGCAAATGTTCTCACAAGGGGTCTGAGGATCTCATATCAGTACCTAATGGCAGTCAGGCTACCTCATGGTGTTGTCCCATGGTGTTGGGCTGCAACCCCCACCAGTGTACATTGGGCCCCATACCACCCTCATACATTCATAAAAAGAAAATCTGTTCTTTTAATGTATTTATTTATTAATTGAAACTACAATAAACTAAACTAAACCTGTATTTCCCCATTCATATGACTGTAATGAATTATTAAACAGATTATTAATAACTAATCAGAGAGCATTTTACTGAGCTCAGTGTAAAGTTTAGTGTTTAGGCCTACAGTAAATGTAATATTAGAGGGATGTCTGCGGCGAGACGGCAATACTGTGTCTAAATTTACACTTTCTCTGATCAGAAACCAAACACAATTATCCAAGAGCGACACTGTGTTAGACTTGAGCAAATACACATCAACAAATGTCCTATTCAGCTGGAGGAGCACAGGGATTTACAGGGATTTTACTAATTTTACAGGATAAAATGTAAAGAAAATGAAGTAGATTATTGAATAAGTACAAATGTTGTTTGTGTGAGTAAAAAATCAAGAAAAGTTTGTTAAATACGTTTAGAAATGATGAAATAAATGAGCAAATAAGGAAACAGAACACTGCCGCCGCGTCCCCATGCAGTAATATGGTGTATCAGCAATCTCACAGGGGGACGATATGGCCAGCTAAAGATTTTCTGTTAAAGCAGGGCAGTGATTCACTAAACTGATCTGAGTCTTCAGTGCAGACTGATGTGTGTCTTCTGTGATCAATCAATGAATACTCACAGAGCTCTTCTGCAGTTTCTCACAGCTGCTGTCAGTCTCCGTCTTCCCTCATCTGATGTGTTGAATTTATTAAAGTCTAACTCATCCAGCGGCTCCTCTGACATCTCAATCATGTAGGAAATTGTTGTGCAGTGAGCAGGAGAGAGTTCCCCCTCTGAGTGTTTGTCTGATTTCACAAACTCCTGAATCTCTCTGGCCAGAGTCTGATCTTTCACCTCCAGCAGACAGAGGAACAGATTGATGGATCTTTCAGCTGAGAGACGGTCATAATATCGGTCATCTCTCTTGATCTTGTCTTTAATGTGCTGTGTGATTCTCCTGATGTTCTCTGAGCTCTCCTCTGTGGGTGTCAGCAGATCCTGGAAGAGTCTCTGATTGGACTCCAGTGAGGTGCCCAGCAGGAACCGCAGGAACAGATCCAGATGACCATTACTACTCTCTACAGCTTTATCTACTGCTGATCTGAGCAGATCATACAGAGACTTTTTAGAGCTGGCCTGTATATATTGATCATATGAATGTCCTAAAATCAACTCCAGCGGTTTTCTCTTCTTCGTTAAATGGCAGTGAAACACAAAGAAAGCAGCCAGAAACTCCTGAAAGCTGAGATGGATGAAGCTGTAGACTTTCCTCTGATGAATCACAGATTCCTCCTTGAAGATCTCAGTGCAGATCCCAGAATACACTGAGGCGTCAGTGACGTCTATGCCGCTCTCAATCAGGTCCTCCTCATAGAACATCACATTGCCCTTCATCAGCTGTCTGAAAGCCACTTCAGCAAGTTTGAGGATCACTTCTCTGTTGGACTGCAGGAGTTTCTCTGGATCTCTCTCTTCATACTTCTGCTTCCTCATGTTGATCTGAATCAGCAGGAAGTGGATGTACATCTCAGTCAGAGTTTGAGGGATTTCTGCACTCAGATCTTCTTCCAGGAGCTTCTGAAGCACAGTGGAGGAGATCCAGCAGAAGACGGGTATGTGGCACATGATCTGGAGGCTTCTTGCTCTTCTGATGTGGGAGATGATTCTGCTGGCTTGATGCTCGTCGCTGATTCTCTTCCTGAAATATTCCTCCTTCTGAGACTCAGTGAATCCCTGAATTTCTGTCAGACGGTTGATGTATCTGGAGGGGATCTGATGGGCTGCTGCTGGTCTGGAGGTGATCCAGATGAGAGCAGAAGGAAGCAGATCTCTTTTCAGGAGGCTCCACATCAACACAGCAACTGATGAAGATTCAGTCACAGCACAAACTTTCTCCTCATCTGAAAAGTTGAGTGTGATTCTGCTTTCATCCAGACCATCAAAGATGAACACAACTCTACACTGCTCATAAATCTTGGGCTCCAGATCTTCAAGTTCAGGATGAAAGTCCAGCAGAAGTCTGTAAAGACTGTACTGATGATCTCTGATCAAGTTCAGCTCTCGAAATGAAAGCACAAACATGAAATCTACGTCCTGATGGTCTTTTCCCTCAGCCCAGTCCAGAATGAACTTCTGCACAGAGACGGTTTTCCCGATTCCAGCAATGCCCTTAGTGAGAACAGTCTTGATCTGGGCTTTCTCCTTCTTGATCTTCTCCTCATGTCCTGCTCCAGTTGAGGCTTTAAAGATGTCATTGCAGTAGACTGGAGTGTGTTGTGAGGGTTTTGTTCTGGCTCTTTTCTCCATCTGTAAAACCTCATGTTCTTCATTCACTCCTTCACTCTCTCCTTCTATGATGTAGAGCTGTGTGTAGATCCTGTTCAGGAGGGTTTGAGTCTCTCCATGGTTGATTCCCTCAAATAATCTCTCATACTTGTTCTTCATGCTGGTTTTGTGCTGCTCTTTGACTCTCTGAAGTTCATCATGTTCTGGTTGGAGTGAATCCTGCTGCAGGTCTCCAGTCTGATCATCTCTATCCACACTGCAGGAACAACAACAACACAAAGAATCAATGAGTAGACCCCAGGGTTATGCTTTCATGGTTTAAAAAAGGATGTAAAAGGGGACATCTAAGAAAGTCGTCACTTTTTAGAGACACAGCTGAATACACATGATCCTGATCTCACACTGAAGACACAAACACCGGAGAAAAAGAAGCGTTACAACCTCAAGGTGTTGTTTAAGGTGTTGTTCAAGGTGTAAGATAAAGTTTTAATGTTTAAAGTTTCAGATCAAAATCACATAATTTATTATACTCTTCTGAATATGTGAATCCCAGCCCACCACTCTCACTCGTGTGTCCTGCATTGAAAGTTTTTCCTTTAAGTCAACATTTAGGTTAAATACATTTATGTAGAATTTACCTACAGCTCTGCGCACACTCCCATCAATTTATTTATTTGTACTTTTACATGGGAAGTGGTGTACACTTGTTTTCACCCCAGTTTTGCCCATATAAATGAGACCACCAAAATTTTGGTGTGATTTCTCTTTACATTAATATTAGGCTATTAAATGGAGAAGCACTTTAGCAACGAGACCAACAGCGTGTAAGTACATTTTAGACTTGTTTTGTTTTCAGCTGTTTGTGTGTGGTTTTAGGACATTTAGACTTGTTTTCAGTTGTCTGTGTGTGCTACTAGAAAGTTTACTCACTGTTTCCTTGGTTACTGTAAGAGCTTGTGTGTCAATCGCGGACGGTTTCGTGCCCCCTGCCTTAGTTTCTGGTGTTTTTACTCTCCAGGCGTGTCCAGCTGAATTCAATCAGCTCTGGGGTGTATATAAGCAGCTAGTCTCATTGCGTCAGCTGTTGCGGCAGCCTCGTGTGAATACCGCCTCGTGTGAAGGCCGCCTCGTGTGAAGGCCGACTGGTGTAAAGACCATCAACTCTACCTTCGCGACTCCACCGAGCAAAGACACAGACAAAGCACCTGAGTACTTTACTACTTTATTTTACTTTATCTTTGCACTTATTATTGTTTTCATTGCACTTTTATTATGTGTTTACTAATTCCTGTTGTTACTAACACTCACAAAGCACGGGAGGTACGCTGCAGGCGTAATCCTCACAACCTTCGTTCAATACGTGTATCTGCTATTTCACAATTCTCTCTCTCCGTGGGCCTCTGGAATTGTCAATCTACTGTTAACAAGGCAGATTTTATTACCTTCATAGCTACACATTCTGACTATAATCTCATGGCTCTAACTGAGACCTGGTTGAGACCGAAGGACACTGCTACACATGCAGCTCTTTCTGCTAATTTCTCTTTTTCCAACACTCCTCGTTAGACAGGGAGAGGGGGAGGGATTGGACTACTGATTTCCAAAAAATGGAAATTTACTCAGAGACCGTCCCTGACAAAGATCAGCTCCTTTGAATTCCATGCAGTCACCATTATCCACCCCTTCTACATAAATGTGGCTGTCATCTACCGCCCACCGGGTACATTAGGTCCCTTCTTAGATGAATTGGATGTTCTACTCTCATCTTTTTCTGATTATGACACTTTCTTGTTGGTGCTAGGTGACTTCAACATCCACATTGAAAGACCACAAGCTAGTGACTTCCTGACTCTGCTTGCCTCCTTTGACCTCAAAAGAGCACGTACTTCTGGTACTCACAAATCAGGTAATCAGCTAGACCTTATTTACACTCGACATAGCTTCACTGACCAAACAGTAACTCCACTACACACATCTGATCATTTTTCTCTGTCTCTCAACATCCACATTACTCCTGAGCCATCACACACTCCAACACTAGTTGCCTTTCGCAGAAACCTACACTCTCTCTCACCCAATAGACTATCCACCATTGTTTCAGAGTCTCTTCCTCCATCTTGCAAACTCTCTGCACTGGATACGAACAGTGCCACTGATACACTCTGCTCCACACTAGCATCATGTCTAGACAGACTATGTCCTCTTACATCCAGGTCCTGCACCCTGGCTCTCTGATGTTCTCCGTGAGCATCGCTCAAAACTTCGGGCTGCAGGGAGAATTTGGCGAAAAACTAAAAATTCTGCACACCTCATGCAACCACCTGTCCGCTTGATCCCATTCCATCTCATCTATTGCAAGCCATTTCTCCTGCAGTCATACCAACACTGACTCACATAATTAACACATCTCTTGACTCTGGTTTATTCCCCACTTCATTTAAAAAGGCTAGGGTAACCCCACTGCTAAAGAAACCCAACCTGGATCAAACACTACTTGAAAACTACAGACCGGTATCACTGCTTCCATTCATGGCCAAGATTCTGGTGAAAGTAGTGTTCAATCAAGTCCTGGACTTTCTTACTCAAAACAACAAGCAATCTGGCTTTAAGAAAGGCTACTTAACTGAGACTGCCCTGCTCTCGGTCGTGGAGGATCTCAGACTGGCTAAAGCAGACTCTAAATCATCAGTCCTCATCTTGCTGGATTTGTCAGCTGCTTTTGACACTGTAAACCATCAGATCCTGCTATCTACGCTTGAGTCACTGGACTTTGCAGGCACTGTTATTCAGTGGTTCATGACCTCTCTAACAGGTCATTCATGGTGTATTGGAAGGGAGAGGAGTCCAACCTAATGCATCTAAACACTGGGGTACCTCAAGGCTCTGTTCTTGGGCCACTTCTCTTCTCCATCTACACGACATCTCTAGGATCAGTCATCCAGAAACATTGATTTTCCTACCACTGCTATAATGATGATTCCCAGCTATACCTCTCTTTTCCCCTTGATGATCCCTCGTTTCTGGCTCACATCTCAGCCTGCCTGTCAGACATTTCATACTGGATGAAAGATCATCATCTTCAGCTTAACCTCGCGAAAACAGTAATGCTTGAAGTTTCTGCCAACCCGACTTTACATCACAACTTTTCAATCCAGATGGATGGGGCAAACATTACTGCATCCAAAATGGTGAAAAGCCTTGGAGTAACGATTGATGACCAACTAAACTTCTCTGACCACATCTCTAGAACTGCTTGATCTTGCAGATTCGCACTCTATAACATCAGAAAGGTCAGACCCTTCCTATCTGAACATGCAGCTCAACTCCTTGTTCAAGCTCTTGTTCTCTCCAAACTGGACTATTGCAACTCTCTACTAGCCGGGCTCCCAGCTAACTCTATCAAACCTCTTCAGATGCTTCAGAACGCAGCAGCACGAGTGGTCTTTAATGAACATAAAAGAGCACATGTCACTCCGCTACTCATCCGTTTGCACTGGCTGCCAGTTGCTGCTCGTATCAAATTCAAAGCTCTGATGTTTGCCTACAAAGCGACCTCTGGCTTTGCTCCTTATGTGCTCTCACTTCTGCAGATTTATGTGCCCTCCAGAAACTTACGTTCTGTGAATGAATGTCGCCTCGTGGTTACATCCCAAAGAGGGAAGAAATCACTTTCCTGATCTCTCGCGTTCAATCTACCCAGTTGGTGGAATGAACTCTCAAACTGCATCAGAACGGCAGAGTCACTCACTGTCTTCAAGAAACGACTAAAAACTCAACTATTTAGTTTCCACTTTCCTTCCTAATCTGCAATTGCCTCTCTGGTGCTACCGCTAACTGTATTACAAAAAAAAAAAATTACTAATGTTTTGCTTCTTACACTTTCTTTACATACCTGAAACTTGCCTAAAGCACTCAAACAAATTCATTGTTGCTCTTATAGTTGTGTAAATTGTTTCCTCATTTGTAAGTCCCTTTGGATAAAAGCATCTGCTAAATGACTAAATGTAGATGTAAATAGATCTGAAAATGGTCTAATAAATGTTGGCTAATGGGGGGTCTGGTGTAAGATCATTTGCATTAGGTTAACACACTTTAAACATTAAAAACCTTCAACAATGCCCACTAGGTAATAATAATAGTGCTATGAATTTGTAAAAAGGTGGTTTTTGAAGATTGACTGACACTTGATGGCAAAAAATACTTAATACGTGTGT